CAGGTGGACTCCTCAGGGGCCCTGTCACCCCACTTGGGTTGGCAGCTGGAAGGGGCTCAGGACAGCTTTACCACTGGACACAAGCCCATGAGTGACCCTACAGGATCCAGTGTCATCCTTCTATTGTGCAATGCTGTTCGAGCAACATCACCTCCCTGACCTCGGTTTCCTTGTACAAGGGCATCTGCTTCGTGTTGGGAGGATTCAGTGTAGTCACACGCGTAACATGCTTAGGACATGTTACAGTCCTGGGGCCCTGTCAGCCTCAGTGATGGTTTTATTGCTACACCTGATGGTTTTTCGATGCTCTGTTGTTTTTGCTTTTGAGATAAGGGTCTCAACCCCACACCCAGGCTGGAGTGCAGTACTGCGATCTCAGCTCACTGCAGCCTTGATGTTCAGGGCTCAAGCAGTCTTCCCACCTCAGCTTCCCCAGTAGATGGAACCACAGGCACGGGCCAGCACACCCTGCTCATTTTTTTTTTTTTTTTTTTAGAGACACAGGGTTTAGCCATGTTGCCCAGGCTAGTCTCAAACTCCTGGGCTCAAGCAATCTGCCTGCCTTGTCCTCCCAAAGTGCAGGGATTACAGGCATGCGCCACTGTGCCCAGCTTTGATGAAGCTTTGTAATGGAAGCAGAAATGCCACCAACTGGGGCCCAGTTTGGGTCCATGGCTTTAGCCCACAGGTGGGACACCTGCACTACGGAGGCATCTGGTGGTCTCAGCTGTGGTGAGGGAGAGAGGCGCTGGCTTGAGAACCAGAACTTACATTCAAGTCCTAACTCAGCCACCTCCTTAATGTCCTTTAGGAAAAGTCTTGCCATCTTTCTGAGTCTCGTTTTCTCCGTCTGTTAAAACAGTGTAGTTTAAATGACCCACCAGCGTGGTTAAGAGACTTAAATGAGACCTGAGTGCCAGTGCTTATTTATTTCATTTTATTTATATGCTGTCTCAATCAAAAAATGAAGAGATAGAAAGGAATTGAGCTGAAAAGGATTGAAACTATGCAGGCAGCTGCAGGTGAAGGAGTCTAAGAAAATATGGTCTGTGAGGCACTGTTGACATGCTCTGGGCTACCACTGTGTGCTTCTGAGCCTCCTAGCAACCTGAGTGATGAGGGAAACATGCTCAGATCCATGATTCTCAGCAGCAAGCCAGACTGAGGCCTTTTCAAGCAGCCCTGTCCTAAAGGCTCCAGTGACTCAGAGGGGAGCTCCCAAGCACTGGTGAGTCCGTGCTCAGAAGGGCACAGCTGGCTGCGAGTAACTAGATCCTGAAAGGCAGCCAAGGAGCAGCTGGGTCAGTCTGACCTCAGCAGGTCCACGGAGGCCCTTTATGCCAAGCAGGCTGTTTCCTTGCCGCTCTGGGTTCCCCTTACCTTGCTTTGCTAAAACCTTTGTTTGTGCTGCGAGGGGATTTAGAGTCTGAACGGCAGTCCCGGGCCACGCCCGCCACATACCTTACACCAGTTGTGTGACTTGGAGTGTGGTCCACAGAAGCAGGTCCCAAGTAGAGAAAAATACCCCACTCAGGCCAGGCGCAGTGGTGTTTACTGGAGGATGAATATCTGAGCTTGAACAGGGCAAGTGCTGCCCTGACTGTTGGGATCAGCAGCTTGGCAGCTCCTTACCAGCCTACTCAGGACTCTGCCAAGGTGAGGCCACGAGGGGCACCTGGTGCAGGGACACAGCTGCCCACTTCACACTCCAGCTCTGTTGTGACTTTGGGCAGGTCTCTGAGCCCCCTAGGTTCTGGCTGCCCCCTCTATAAAATGAAAGAGTTGGAGGAGATGGTCCTTAAAATTTCTAGATCAATCACGTAATGATTCTGTGCCTTATGACTATGTGGCTTAGAGAAAATTAAATTGGGGGCATCTAGTCTTGAGCATTGAAAGGAACAAGAGCTTACTGAGCACATGCTACATGCCAGGAACTCTGACCATTTCACAGATGGAGAAACTAAGGTTCTGCATGATGAGGAGACTTGTTGGAAGCCAAGTGCCTATCTTTCTTTTCTTCTCTTTTCTTTTGTTGAGATGGAGCCTTGTTAGAGTACAGTGGTGTGATCTCAGCTCACTGCAACCTCCACCTCCCAGGTTCAATCGATTCTCCTGTCTCAGCCTCCCGAGTAGCTGGGATTATAGGTGCCCGCCACTACTAGAGACGGGGTTTCACTGTGGTAGGCAGGCTGGTCTCAAACTCCTGACCTCAGGTGATCCACCCACCTCAGCTTCCCAAAGTGCTGTGATGTGGTAAAACCACATCTCTACTAAAAATACAAAAATTAGCCGGTCATGATGACAGGTGCCTGTAATCCCAGCTGCTTGGGAGGCTGAGGCAGGAGAATCACTTGAACCCAAGAGATGGAGGTTGCAGTGAGCAGAGATGGTGCCACTGCACTCCAGCCTGGGCAACAGAGTGAAACTCTGTCTCAAAAAAGTGAGGGGGAAGAGTATGACCCAGAGAAAGAACCAGAAATAAAGAGAAACCACAGATGAAAACATTTTAAGGGAAAGAACGTCTAAGTAGAAGCACAGTGCCAGATGCCAAAGGCAAGGTTTTTGTCTCAGCTTCTTCTGTGACTCGGTCCCCCTGACAGGTCACTGGTCCCACTCGGCCCCACCCAGCATTTTCATTGGTCAAATGGATATAAACTCCTGGCCTGCCTGCCTGCCTAGGCTCAAGAGTGAAATGAGCTGGATGGCTGCAGTCGGAGGTGCCCTGTGGCTCTACAGCTCATTCATAAAATGAGGCACCAAATCCAGTGTGGGGTTTGGCTACAGGTGACATGCTGATGTCCGTTTCCTAGTTGTGACAAATGTACCTAGTGGTGTAAAATGGGAGCAATGGGGTAAAGTGTGTGAGCTCTGTGCTGTCTTTGCAATTTTTCTGAGAATCTACAAATATTCTAAAATTAAAAGTTTATTTAGGCCAGGCATGGTGGCTCACGCCTGTAATCTCAGCACTTTGGGAGGCCAAGGCAGGCGGATCACCTGAGATCAGGAGTTCAAGACTAGCCTGGCCAACATGGCAAAATCCCATCTCTACTGAAAATATAAAAACTAGCTGGGTGTGGTGGTGTATGCCTGTAATCCCAGCTACTTCGGAGGCTGACGGGGGAGAATTGCTTGAACCTGGGAGGCAGAGGCTGCAGCGAGCTAAGATTGTGCCACTGCACTTCAGCCTGGGTGACAGAGCAAGACTCTGCCTTTAAAAAAAAAAAAGTTTATTTAAATTGGAGAATAAGAATATACAAGCATCTCCAATCCACAGCCATAAACCAACTGATAAACTGTATAAATGGTTACATCGTGAGTCACTCATTAATACAGTGATTCATTCACAATAACCATGTAATATGTGGAATTTAAAAGGAACTGGTACATTTATTTATTTTTTTTTTTTTTGAGATGGAGAGTCTTGCTCTGTCACCAGGTTGGAGTGCAGTGGCATAATATCAGCTCACTGCAACCTCCACCTCCCTGGTTCAAGCGATTCTCCTGCCTCAGCCCTCCGAGTAGCTGGGACTACAGGCGCACGCCACCATGCCCAGCTGATTTTTGTATTTTTAGTAGAGACATAGTTTCATCATGTTGGCCAGGATGGTCTTGATCTCTTGACCTTGTGATTCGCCTGCCTTGGCCTTCCAAAGTGCTGGGATTACACATGTGAGCCACTGTGCCTGGCCCAAAATCTTTTAAATATATCATTGATTGAGGAAAACAACTTGGTTAGACTTCGCATCCGATATGGTAATATTTATGAAAAATATTAAACCAAGAACAGAAAAATTGCATATAAAGCCAGAGACAAACTTCATTTTTTTTTTTTTTAATGGAATCTTGCTCTTGTCGCCTAGGCTGAAGTGCTATGGCGCCATATCAGCTCAATGCAACCTCCACCTCCTGGGTTCAAGTAATTCTCCTGCCTCAAGTAACTAGGATTACAGATGTGCGCCACCATGCCTGGCTAATTTTTTTATATTTTTAGTAGGGACAGGGTTTTACCATGTTGGCCAGGCTGGTCTTGAACTCCTGACCTAGTGATCTGCCCACCTTGGCCTCCCAAAGTGCTGGTATTACAGGCGTGAGCTAGCGCGCCCAGCCGACCTCAAATTTTTATGCCTGGAGATTAAAGGGCATGGGATAATGAAGGGAAATTTTATTTTTGAGATGGGGTCTCAGTCTGTGGTCCAGGCTGAGTGCAGTGGTGCAGTCATGGCTCACTGCTGCCTTAACCTTGAGGGCTCAGGTGATTCTCCCACCCCAGCCTCCTGAGTAGCTGGGGCCACAGGCACATGGCACTACACCTGGCTAATTTTTAAATTTTCTGTAGAGACAGGGTCTCACTACATTGCCCAAGCTGTCAAACTCCTGGGCTCAATCGACCCTCCTACCTCAGCCTCTGAAAGTTGGGATTACAGGCATGAGCCACTGCACCTGGCCTGATTTTATTCTTTAAATATGTTAGAATTAAGTGTTTTCCCTTGAGACCTGTGAGTTTTTTTCAGTGAAAAAGTATTCAAAAGGTTTGTAAGCACGTCCATAAGAAAGAAGATAGGAGGGGAGGAACAGGACCCATGAGGGCAGCCTGCAGCTTGCAGCCTGCTCTCCCACTCCTGTCCTGGGTCAAGGCCTGCATTTCGGGTTCAGCCTTTCCCAGGGTGTATTTTGCTCCTGCAGCCAAGCCTGGCAGTGCAGCCCCTACAGTCAGGGTGGGGTGGGCCAGGCAAAGGAGCAGGCTGCAGAGGGAGCATGGTGGCGGCCTGGGGGTCTTGAGGTAGGGCTGCCGGAGCATGCGGGTGTCCTCAATGCTGGGGCTTCCAGGGGCCTTAGTACCACGAGTTGACTCTTGGGGGCAGGAGGTCACTCCATGCAGGGGCAAGGCGCTGCTGACTACGACATTCCCCAGCAAGGTAGCAGCAAAGGCCTCCTAGGTCCCCTTCCTGGGAAAGGAGCCTGGCCTGCCCTGACGGGTCTGCCATCTCTCTCTCCCGCAGGATGAAAATGAGACGCTACAAGCTCTTTCTCATGTTCTGTATGGCTGGCCTGTGCCTCATCTCCTTCCTGCACTTCTTCAAGACCCTGTCCTATGTCACCTTCCCCCGAGAACTGGCCTCCCTCAGCCCTAACCTGGTGTCCAGCTTCTTCTGGAACAATGCGCCGGTCACGCCCCAGGCCAGCCCCGAGCCAGGAGGCCCGGATCTGCTGCGCACCCCGCTCTACTCCCACTCGCCTCTGCTGCAGCCGCTGCCTCCCAGCAAGGCAGCCGAGGAGCTCCACCGGGTGGCCTTCGTGCTACCCGAGGACACCACGGAGTATTTCGTGCGCACCAAGGCCGGCGGCGTCTGCTTCAAACCCGGTACCAAGATGCTGGAGAGGCCGCCCCCAGGACGGCCAGAGGAGAAGCCAGAGCGGGCCAATGGCTCCTCTGCCCGGCGTCCACCCCGGTACCTGCTGAGCGCCCGGGAGCGCACTGGGGGCCGGGGCGCGCGGCGCAAGTGGGTGGAGTGCGTGTGCCTGCCCGGCTGGCACGGACCCAGCTGCGGCGTGCCCACCGTGGTGCAGTACTCCAACCTGCCCACCAAGGAGCGGCTGGTGCCCAGGGAGGTGCCGCGCCGCGTCATCAACGCCATCAATGTCAACCACGAGTTTGACCTGCTGGACGTGCGTTTCCACGAGCTGGGCGACGTGGTGGACGCCTTCGTGGTGTGCGAGTCCAACTTCACCGCCTACGGGGAGCCGCGGCCGCTGAAGTTCCGGGAGATGCTGACCAACGGCACCTTCGAGTACATCCGCCACAAGGTGCTGTACGTCTTCCTGGACCACTTCCCACCCGGAGGCCGGCAGGATGGCTGGATCGCCGATGACTACCTGCGCACCTTCCTCACCCAGGACGGCGTCTCGCGGCTGCGCAACCTACGGCCCGACGACGTCTTCATCATCGACGACGCCGACGAGATCCCGGCCCGCGACGGCGTCCTCTTCCTCAAGCTCTACGACGGCTGGACCGAGCCCTTCGCCTTCCACATGCGCAAGTCGCTCTACGGCTTCTTCTGGAAGCAGCCGGGCACCCTGGAGGTGGTGTCGGGCTGCACAGTGGACATGCTGCAGGCCGTGTACGGCCTGGACGGCATCCGCCTGCGCCGCCGCCAGTACTACACCATGCCCAACTTCAGGCAGTACGAGAACCGCACCGGCCACATCCTGGTGCAGTGGTCACTGGGCAGCCCCCTGCACTTCGCCGGCTGGCACTGCTCTTGGTGCTTCACGCCTGAGGGCATCTACTTCAAGCTTGTGTCCGCCCAGAACGGCGACTTCCCGCGCTGGGGTGACTACGAGGACAAGCGGGACCTGAACTACATCCGTGGCCTGATCCGCACGGGGGGCTGGTTCGACGGCACACAGCAGGAGTACCCGCCCGCAGACCCCAGTGAGCACATGTACGCGCCCAAGTACCTGCTCAAGAATTACAACCAGTTCCGCTACCTGCTGGACAACCCCTACCAGGAGCCCAGGAGCACGGCGGCAGGTGGGCGGCGCCACAGGGGTCCCGAGGGAAGGCTGCCCGCCCGGGGCAAACTGGACGAGACAGAAGGCTAGGGCTGCATGATCTGATAGGGCGCGTGGCAGGGCAAGGGTGGCGGCCCCCTAGCGCTATCTCCCTGCCTCCTGCCGGCTCCGTGGTTCTTGAGGGGACCAGGTATAGGTAAGGAGTACAGATGGGGGTAGGGTTTCCCTACTGAAGCCCTTGTGAATCAAGGGTCAGGCCTTTGAGCTCAGAAAACATCTCTCCTGCTGGGAGAGGGTGCAGACCATGACATCTGGGTAGCCCTTCTGACTGCCAAGACTGCTGTGGCCAGGAGGTGCCACTGGAGTGTGCTGGTGGTCCCTGGGTAGCAGGGGAGGGCAAGCAGAGTGGGGGAAGAGAGTCTGCAGGATCTCATGGGGCAGCCTTTGGGGCGTGGCCAGGCCGGGAAAAAGCCCACCATTTGGCATCCCAGGGTCTTGGGCTCGAAGTGGGAGACTGGCCTGCCAGGAGGACCCAGGGCTCTGTAAGTAGATACATTTGGGTCCAGGAGGAAGCATGGGCACCTGGGAGGGAGGGGATGAAAAACCACATCCCACCAAGAGGAGGTGCTGAGGGATGCTTTGCAGGGTTGTCAGAAGTGCTGGGCCAGAAGACAACTCCATCCCCTGCCCCAAAGAACAAGACGTGGCTGCCCTCGGGGGCTGGTGCCTGAGTCTGTCTCTGTCCCCTCGGGCTGTCGTGAGCCAACACAGGAGCCTGAAGAACCCTGAGGAACTTTCCTTTTAGTTCCAAACTGGCCTTGACACTCCTTCTCCCGTTTTTACATTGCTGTCTTGTGGACTGTGCACCCAGTCCTTGCAAGGCCAGCAGTCCAGTTGCAGGTGGGGCCTTGCAGGGAAAGTGGGGAGAAGACTGACATGAGGCCTCCGCACGGATCTGTCTCTCCCTCTCCATCACGCCTTCCTTCTGATACCCAGTCCCAGCTGTTCACTGTCCCAGGTGCAATCACTGTTGTGCCCCTCCTTAGGGCTGGGAGCCAGGAAGGGGCCATGAGGCTGTCCTGGGCCCAAGAAGGGACAATAAGGCCAGTTATACACTTCCTGTTCCTCCTAGCTGGCCTTGGTGGAGGTGTCTTTGTTGGTGTAGACTCCAAGCTGCTGTGATTAAGAGACCCTGAAATAGATGGTTTAAGCAAGACTGACGCTGGTTTCTGATTAGTCTAGAGTGAGATGGCTCAGAGCTGGTAGGGCAGCTGTGCGTTTCTTCATACGCACCTTCCAATTCTGGGTACAGAGTGGCTGCTCCAGCGCCCACTCCTGTGTGTATCCAAGCCTGGGGGAAGCAGAAATAGGCAAGAGGGGCATACCCGCTTCCTGCTAAAGGCCTGAGCCAGAATTGGCAGGCTCACCTCTGCCGGCTTCTCATTGGCTGGGACTCAGTCACATGGCCACAAGCAGCTGCAAGGGAATCTGGGAAGTGTAGTCTTCAGCGGGGCCACCATGTGCCTGGCCTCATCTTGGTAGTTCTCTTATTGATGGAGGAGAAGAGAATGGATATGGGGAACCAGTAGCATCTCTGGGAGAGGGGGAGGGGGCAGCAATAACTCAGTCATCGGATCCAGGTCTCATTGTTAGAGCTTCTGGAACAGCTTGCTCCTGTTCCCCTCACTGTGTAGCCCAGGACCAGGGGCAGTGAGGAGTCTGCACTCTGTGGGAAGGGGAAACATCCCCTCGGCCCCTCAAACACTACCCACTGATGCCAGTGTGCAGAGTTGGCCTGTGGAATGGCTCATGTTTGTGCGTATGCGTGTGTGTGTGTGTGTGTGTGTGTGTGTATTTATGGGCATGGGTGCATGCTTGGTGTGTATTTGTACATGTCTGTATTGCTGTGTCCCTGTAAATACATGCTTGTGTGTGGATGGGGGAGCCCAGGCCCAGGTGTCCTCTTCCTCAGGCCTGTGGCCACACCTCCTGCAGCTCCCCAATATGACTGAGGCAGAAAACCCTTGGGGAGCCTAGAAAGCAAAGCTAAAGGGGATGCAGGGTCTGTCCGTCTGTCTGTCTTTCAGTCTGAGGAATGACAATTCTGACCTGAGGGCTGTGCAGCTGAGAGCCCACTACCTCCCCAGCCCCTCTCGACCCCAGCCACAGCATCCCACCCATCCCCTCCCCCTGCCCCAGCGGGCTTTCTCTTGTGTCTTATTGATGGGAGTTTTCTGATGGGCCAGGAGAGGAGGGTATCTCCTTGCCACAGCTCTGTCTGGGTGAAGTGCCCAGTGAGGGCATGGTGTGGGGACCTGGCCTCAGAGCAGCTGTTGGTAGGCCAGTGTGAAGTGGGCTGAGGGGCTCCGACCTACTCTTGCTCCCATCTATGGACTGTCCCCCATGGAACGCCTCCTTTGAAGTCACAGCAGCCTTCCTTTCTGTTTCCTCTTGGGGCGGAGGGGTAGCTCAAGAAGCCAGGGGATCTCTGTGGCCCTGGGTCAATCCAGGCAAGGCTGCACCCCATGGACAGGGAATCTCAGGGCTCCTGATCATGCCTGGGCCCTGGCCTGGGGCCTCCCTCCTTGGCAACTTCCTTACCCCATGCCCCTGACACCCTCAGTTGCTGTGGGGATGTCCCTCCAGGGCACCAGCTCAGGGCTAAGGGAAGGAAGAGCTGCCAGGCCCTACCTTCCTCACAGACCTGGTGGGGCAGGGCCTGTTCGCAGCAGTAGAAGTGAAGGCCTCACCATTGGTGGCGAGGACAGCTGTCAGAGGGGTGGGGGGCCAGGGCATGGGATAGAAGAGTTTCACATATATCACAGCATACACTGGGAATTTGGGGGGGGGGCAGAGGAACCCAGGGCCACTCCCTCAATATGAAAGGAAACCAAGCTGAATGTGACCACTGGCACACTGCTGCCACATCTCATGTCTACATATCCCCCCGGGAATAACCGGCCCCAAGACCGAGACCCAAGGAGGCCTGTCTGTGCCAAGCATCCAGGAAGCATGGCTGGCCCTGTCCACCCATGGGTCATGTCGGTTTCCAGGGGCAGCATGGGAGAGCTTTGGAGGCAACAGGGAGAGTCCAGGTGGGGAGAAAAGACTTGCCCAAGCAGATGGCAGGACCCTGGGAAATGTATAATTTAAGGACATCAATAATAGTATTATTTTTTTTGTAAGGGAAAATCAATATGTACATTCTGAAATCATTTTCTCTGTAAATGGTTGGATTTCATTTCACCCTTAAAGGGATGCTTAAAGGAGAAGATAATATTAATAATAAAAACAGCTACAAAGTCTGAATTGTGTGCGTTGTGTGGTGGGTTTATAGTTGCCCTGGGGCAGGGAGGGCTGGGAGCAGGTGGCTCTGGTCTTGCTAAAGACGCCCTTGCTACTGGATCAGTGGGGTGCAAGACCTTCCCGAGGACTGGATGGCCAGTGGGGAGACGGGGCTGCAGGGAGCACCTTCACTTAGGTACGAAGTGTCCCCCAGTGGCAAGTGGAAGCAGCTGGGGAATGGAAGATGCCAGGCGGAGGTCTGGCAGAAGGAAGCAGTGGCTCCTGAGACCAGGAGTGCCCACCCCCTGCAGTTGGCAGGGACCCTTTCGGGGATCTGAATGAAAATTTTGGTGCCTCTGCAAAGAGGCAGTGGTTCTCCCATAATTCCACTCTGGGGCATCAAAACAAGTTGCTGCCTCAATAGCTTTTCCCGTCGGGTTCTAAATGCCTCCTCCAAGATCAGAGCCATGCAGATTCTGGACCTGGACTCCCAGCACCGGGTCCTCTGGACTCCCAGGAACAGGCATCTCCCTCCCAAGGAGCTGACCTTGGACTTGGCTTTGGACAGTGCCTGGAGCCTTGGAATGTGGGGGCTTCTGAGGAGCTTCCTCTGGGTCAGGTGGACACTGGAGTTGTCCTGGGGGGTCCCCTGTGTGTGTCCTAAGGACAGTCTCAGGTGGTGGGAACAGATACTTTTTTAGCTCTTCCATGGTCCCCTGTGGGTCAGCTGTGCAGCTTCCATGTCAGACAGGGAGACAGAGGCCCAGAGTTAGGAGGAGGCATGACTGAAGTCCTGGTGGCCAGAGCAGGGGCCTGTGTTTCCTGAACACTCACAAAGTGTCACGCCTGCGTCAGTCTGACACCTGGAGGCTGCGACTGCCTGGACTTCCGGCTACACTCACAAAGCCCAAAAGGTACCTGCTGCACGTACTTGGAGTGGGGATTGGGTGGGGGTTGAATTCCACAGGATTAAGAAGTGGAGATGTAGACATCCCAACTAGCCAGAAGAGGGCGATAGTGACCCGTTTAAAATCAAGGGTTCACAACCCTTAAATCCTGTCGTAGGGTGAATCATCATCATCAGTATTTACAGACATTATTGATTAAGTGCCTATTTTGTGCCAAACTCTGGGCTAAAAGATTTCTCCCCTGGCTGGCCACGGTGGCTCACGCCTGTAATCCCAGCACTTTGGGAGGCCAAGGCAGGAGGATCATTTGAGATCAGGAATTCAGGACCAGTCTGGCCAACATGGTGAAGCCCCGTCTCTACTAAAAATACAAAAATTAGCTGGGCGTGGTGGAGGGCGCCTGTAATCCCAGCTACTCGGGAAATAAGAGAATCGCTTAAACCTGGGATGTGGAGGTTGCAGTGAGCCAAGATCGCGCCACTGTGCTACAACCTGGGCAATGGAGTGAGTCTCAAAAAACAAAAAAGATTTCCCACCCTTTTATACCCATTTTACAGACATGGAAAGTGGAAAATGAGGCTTAGACACCTTAAATAAGGCGGTGGATGCAGATTCAGAGTTTTCCTCACACTGGAAGCCGAGTTCTCATCTGCCAAACTGCACACCAGCCATCATTGTGCACTGGAGGAGGAGGAAGCTGGGAGCAGAGGTGAGGGAGTGGGGGGAGGCGGAGAGGAGGGTGGTGGTGGTGCTAACATTCAAGCCCCTACCCCAGCCAGGCACAGTGCCGGGTCAGGGGACGCTGGGAGAGGACAGTCCCTGCTCTCAGGAGGACTGGGGTCCCTGGGGAGCACAGACAGGAAACACAAGCTTGGAACGGAAGGGTGAGGGTGGATGCAAAGTTTTCAGTGCCCAGGAAGCTGACATGCTGAGTCTGCAGGGCCAGGTGCGCCTGCCCTCCCCTGGTGGTCCAGGTAGGTGTGGGGCACTGCTGACTTCCATGTCTCTGAAAATACCCTTGTAGAAGTACATAAGGACCCAACACTGCGCTTATAATCAGACAGTTTGGGACCCTCAGCTCTGAGAGCCTCAACATTGGCCATCTGCTTCTCCTGTTTGGGTCTCAAACTCTGCCTCTGGAGCCTTGTTTCGAAGGCTAAGTTTCCAGCCAGAACAAGTGCCCATGCTCTGCTCTCCCAACCCCATGCCCCTGCCATAGCCAGGAAGGCTGAGGACAGACAGGGTCTTTGCTCCCCTAGACAAAGCTGACCATGACTGAAGGACCCTCAGGTGCAGGCGGAGCCCTTTGTCCTTTTTTGTCACTGTGCTGGCCACCTTGGGAGCTGATTCTGCTCCTTAAACCTTCTGGGAACACTTAAGGTGCCCAGCACTGCAGAAAGCATTAACTCAACTGAGATGAGACATGTTTTTCCAATTAGTTGTAAACCACCCATGTTGGAGGTTTTCCAAAACTGGCCAGTTGCTTTCCCATTACTCGAGATTCCTCATTCTTTCTGCATAAATAATTTCACAACATTTTCAAGTAAATTTGGTAGTAAGGCCCATGACCATGGAATAAACAGGATGCTCACAGTGAAATGCCCTAAAGCCAAAATCTTCTCTTCCATGTGCCATGCTATGAGAAAGGAGATGGAAAGTAACTTCCACCTACCAAACTTCCCTACCTCAGGCTTAAGACACATATCAACAGGTGCAACGACGTTTGTGTAGGACATGCATCTTACTATATATGTGCATCTTTAAAAAGACTTTTCCTGCCCAGGGAAATGTCTTTTTAAAGATGCACATAGATAGTAAAATGCCTGTAATCCCAGCACTTTAAGAGGCTGAGTCGGGCAGGTCACAAGGTCAATAGATCAATGCCATCCTGGCCAACATGGTGAAACCCCATCTCTACTCAAAAATACAAAAATTAGCTGGGTATGGTGGCACATGCCTGTAGTCCCAGCTACTCAGGAAGCTGAGGCAGGAGAATCGCTTCAACCTGGAAGGCAGAAGTTGCAGTGAGCCGGGATTGTGTCATTGCACTCCAGCCTGGCAACAGAGCAAGACTCCATCTCAAAAAAAGGAAAGATTTTCCCACTGACATTTATTTCTCAAGCCAAGTCGGGGACCTGCTGCTGCCAAACTGGGGAGACCAAGATCCCACAGCCAATGTGCTCACTCTCCTTATAGGAGTGTGACACCAGCCAGAGGTGGACAATGTGGTAAAGGCAGGGAAAACACTGTCTCACACTTGGGAAGACAGAAGAGGTCTCGCAATGGACAGGGCAGCCCTGGGAGCAGGTGACTTATAATAGCAGGAATAAATATTACAGCAAGTGCGTCAACACATGGGAGGAATTTAACAAGGCTGTTCCTTTTTTGCAATGGAGTCTTGCTTTGTCACCCAGGCTGAAGGGCAGTGGTGTGATATTGGCTCACTGCAACCTCTGCCTCCTAGGTTCAAGTGATTCTCCTTCCTCAGCCTCCTAAGCAGCTGGGATTATAGGCATGCACCACTGCACCCGGCTAATTTTTTGTATTTTTAGTAAAGACAGGATTTCTCCATGTTGGTCAGGCTGGTCTGGAACTCCCAACCTCAGGTGATCCGCCTGCCTTGGCCTCCCAAACTGCTGGGATTACAGGTGTGAGCCACTGCATCCGGCCAATACATTTGTTTTTTTAAGCTCCTAAGTTTGTGGCAATTCATTACACAGCATTACCAGCTCTGACCGGAGATCTCAAGCACCAGCCCCGGCTGTCACACCTGTCCTCACATGCCTTTCCAGGCCTCCAAGAGACCTCCTGTGGTCCCATCAGGCTCCTAGAGGCCCCTTAGGGCACTGTCACTACTCTCTGCAGGAGCCACATGAGTGGCTGTGGAATTTGAAGCTTCTAAGTCCTGGCCCCCTAGGGCCTCAGGTGTCTTCCCCAGGTGTGCTGTTAACGTGGTGTATCACTTGACGTTAACCCCGGCTGGCTGGCTGGGGCAGTCTGTCAGGTTTTGCCACTGTAAAGTTACTCTTTTATCCCCCTTTCCACTCTGGAAGAAAGTCACTGTGCACAGCCCACACTGATGGAGGAGGCATCCTCAACTTTTATTTACTGAGCTTGGCAACCCTGCCTGTCATGCCAGCACATTTCAAGTACTCCATAGATCCATGAGGCTGCTGAGAATCATAGACAGCGCAGCTCTACTCTAGAACATCACGGAAAAGCAAGTAACCACTCATCAGTCTCTCAGGTACCACTGTACTATTGTTTACTTAATCGTTTTCTGTAAAAGGGCTCACTTTTTTTTTTTTTTTTTTTTTTTTTTTTGAGATGAAATCTCACTCTGACACCCAGGCTGGAGTGCCATGAAGTGATCTCAGCTCACTACAACCTATGCCTTCTGGGTTCAAGCGACTCTCCTGCCTCAGCCTCCCTAGTAGCTGGGAATACAGGCATACACCACGTCTGGTTAATTTTTATATTTTTAGTAGAGACAGGGTTTCGCCATGTTGGCCAGGCTGGTCTCGAACACCTGACCTCAGGTGATCCACCCACTTTGGCCTCCTAAGTGCTGAGATTACAGTTGTGAGCCACTGCACCCAGTCACAGGGCTTTTTAAAAAGGGAACTTGATATCACTACCTTGCAACGGCCCTGCATCAAGGATGGCCCTGGACTTCCAGGAGGTAGAGCAGCTCTATTCCTAAACATGGGCTTTTCCAGCCCTCCTTTCTTCTCCTCCTCAGAAGCCTGGGGCAGGCAGGGACCCCTTGGTCCTGGTCCCCTGGGCTCCAGGGGCCCCACTCGAGGGAGCCTTCACCAGTTCACAACCAGCGTCACGGGCAGCTCTGACCCCTCCTGTGCCCCAGGTGTCTCTGGGCCAGAAAGCTGTAGATCTGTGTCTGCCAAACCTGGTTGATGATGAGAGTCGCCAGAGAGCTTTCTAAAGCTTAGACTTTCTTGAGCCCAAAGCACGTGGATTCTAATTGAAGATATGAGTAGGGACCAGGTAAAAACAGCCCAGGGGGAGCTGATAATTAGCTACATGCTGGAGTCCTACAAGCAGGACAGCCAGGCTTAGCTGTGCTCTGGGAACATTTTCACCTGCAAGTAATGCACA